GGTGGCTCGGGGTCGACGGAACCAACCTAAACTAGTGTTTAGGGTTTATGGTGGCTCGGGGTCGACAAACCACCCTAACCTGGTCTTTAGGATTTATGGTGGCTCGAGGTCGACAGGACCACCAAAACCTTTAAACAACATAATATTAAGGCACTATAAACAACGTATCCCATAATCAACATAATATTGAGGCACTATAACATAAGCATCTACTATATCTGATCCATCTTCCAAGGCATGACATCTCATAATTTTTAGTCTAGCAATCATAGCACACAATACTTAGTGGAGTTCAACATATTTTAGGCATACACAACCATTGTTCACAATACATAGTGGAGTTTAAATGCATACTTCATCCTTTGCTCACAAATGGGTGAATAGCATAGCTACTACATACATACGCAACCAGAGTTCATAACTAGTGCAACCATACACTACACAACCATATTCAAAGTTACTAGGTCATTACACAACCATCATTCCCAAAAGCTAAGCAATGCCCACTAATCTCATATTCAGCTTGTTCAGTTCTCTAAGATGGCCTAGATCCCCTTGACCTTTTGCTTGAGCTTCTCCTCTCCCTTCATGAGCTCAGCAATCTGAAGCTCTAGCCGACCCTTCTCTTCTCTATGCTTTTCCTTTCCCTTAACCAGACCAGTAATCTGAAGCTCTAGCTGACCCTTCTCTTCACTATGCTTTTCCTTTCCCTTAAGCATATCAGCAACCTGAAGCTTCAACTCTAGCTTCTCTTGGGTGAGCTTCTCCTTAGAGTTTGTGAGCTCCGCATTCTGAGACCCCAATTTCATCCTAGCTTCACTCAGCAATTCCTTCTCTTTCACATTCTTCAACTTCAAGTTCTGTATGACAGTTGCTTGAGCCCTTGTCAGGTTAACCATGAGTTCATACTTCTGATTAAGCTTCTGGGTCTCTGCATCTTTCTTTGCCATCTCCGCCTTCACATCGGCCACCAGTTCACTTCTGCATTGCTGCTGATATGTAAGGTTAGACTGCAGATAATTGAGATCCAGCACCCTTTCCTCCTAGAAGTTCATAAGTTCATGCACATCTTGGACTAACTTGTCATAGTTGGCCTCCAGCTTGTTCTTCTCTTCTATTAGATGGTGAATAGTTAAAGCACTTTCAATATTATCATTCACCCTAGCACTCTTGCTATATTCAACCATTGCCCACAGCTTCAACAATGCATTCTGCATTGTTGGGGGCCACCGGTGATCAACCCATTCAACAAACCCAGAATTCTGCCCTTCCTGCAAAAAGAGCAAGAAGAGCAAGTGAGTTCATACCCTAGGTAAATAAAGAAGAAGAGCAATAGCATTGCAAAATAACTGTTTTTCCTTTCTACGTTGGTAATAACAAATGCATCAATTAGTTTAAACCATAGTTTACTTTAAAGCATAGTTTGGTAACATTACCCTAGCTACACTAGTAATTGTACCTACCCACAAAATAACAACATGTGCATCCCTAAATTACAACACCATTCAACTATAGATTTAAACTACATTTTGGTACTTAGCTACAAAACAAGAGCAAGCTGAAACTGCAAAATTGTTGAACTGCTAAAGCATATGCACTACATACTCTCCATTCAACTGAATATTTGTAGCGTAGCTAAATAACAACAGGTGCATCCCAATATAACAGTAGCATTGAACTAAGTATTTAACATGCGCACAAGAGGAATGCCACTACAAAATAACAGTACCACTGTCATTAAACTACATAAGCTACTGGAGTTGCTAAAGTGAATAATCAGCCCTAACAAACTGACTGTAAAGATGAGAGATTCACAATGGTTAGCAATGAAAATACGCATCATTCAACTATGCCCTTGTACTGATGTAAAATATGCCACTATTAAACTAACGATAATATGACACTATCAACCTAAATATAATATCCCACTATCAACCTACAATTCATACCGGCTCTGCACATGCTAAGAACCTTCTGCCTGTGTCTGTTCCTTCAAAGGCAACAAGCCCCTCCGATGCCTTGCCGTGCTTCTCATAGAAGACCATCAGATCCAGCTCAAGTCCCTGGTAATCAGGATCTTCAAGGATGAAAGAGACCTACACAAGCTCGTACAAACAAAATGCCTAAATCAAAACCCAGCTAAATCACCCAAATCAAAAAGCCTCAATTCTGAAACCCTAAACCTAAACCTAGCTCAAGGAAACTCACATGGTTAAGCCCGTCGGTGGATGAGGTCGAGTGCATGTATGACAGGCTAGAGGTGTCGTCACTGCTTTCATCTTCGAAAACCATGGCGACGGCGGTTCGGTGCGACACTTCTGCGGGCGGCAGGGAGGGAGGCAGGAGCGAGGAGGAAGAGAGTCGTGTGTGGCTGAGCAACCCTGCTTAAGTCCACGCACGGTCCGAACCGGTTCGAGCCGGACCGCAGCTCGCGGGCGCGTGCCGATTCACCAGTGTGTTAGCTGACATGCGGGCCCGGGCAGTGAGCTCCAACGCCAATACGTAGAAATACGGAGTTTAGCTCAATTTGCAACGGCTTGCCTGAAACTTGGTATTGACACGTAAAAATTATGAAAACTACCAATCCGTCAACACTGCCCGAAATGTGGTACCAACATGTAATTAACTCCATAATATCAGGATATTCGCGAGGGAGCTATGTCTCGCATTCAGCAAGATATACAGATCTCTCACTGAAGCGTCTCGAGTAATTGGGCTAGCCCACTAGCGATCGAGCCTGGGATCTCTAGGTTCCATCGTCGCACTGATAGCCACTGAGCCAAGATCGAGTTCATGTTGAATAACTTGGGCGCAACCTACTAGAATGAAAAAAGCTGGTTTTCTACACTAGTTTTCTCTTTTCTTTTCTTTTTTCATTAGGTTTTCTTCGTTTCTTTTTCTCCGTTCTTATTGGTTTTTTATTTTCTTTCTTCTTTCTTCATTTTTATTCGCTTTTCTCCTTTTATTTTGTTTCTTGTTTGGCTTTGTTACAACTCCTTTTTTTCTTCTTTTTTTCTTTGGTTTCTTCATTGTTTTTTATCGGATTTTGCATTTTCTTCTTAGGTTTTATTTTTCATTTTCTTTTGTCTTTGGTTTATTTTGTTTCTTTCTTGCTTTTCATTTTTTGGGGTTCTTAGTTTCTTTTGGTTTTCATTATACACTTTCTGTTTACGTCAACAACATTTTTAATACACATTTAACATTTTCCCATGTAAATTTAATATTTTTAATACATGGTCAACATTTTTCTATACAAATATTTAACATGTTTCAAATGCTTGATTAACATTTTTTGAACACAAGATTAATATATATTGAATACTTGGTCAACACTTTTCCTATACACACTTTTAAACATTTTGAAATAACTGATTAACATTTTTCAAATTCAAGATTAACATTTTCTAACACATAGTCAACATTTTTCCTAAGTACATTTAACCTTTTTTTAAATGTCCGATTAACATTTTTTAATTGAAATATTTAACATTCTTTGAACACATCGTCAAATTATTTTCAGAACACAGTTAACATTTTCAAATGCTTGATTAATATTTTTAAATACTTGTTCAACATTTTTCTAAATCTTCAACTAACATTTTAATACACGTGATCACATTTTTTTCATGTTTTTTGAATACATTCTCAACAGTTTTTCCATACACATTTAATCTTTTTCAAATACTTGTTCAATATTTTTTTTCAAATGCTTGATTAACATTTTTATATACATGATCAAACTTTTTTCATCATATTTATAATACATGGTCAATATTTTTTCTATACACATTTAACATTTTCTAATGCTTGATCAACATTTTCCGTACACTTGTTAAACATTTTTTCAAATTCTTGATTAACATTTTAAAATACGTCATACACATTTATTTTGTGTACATAATAAACATTTTCTCCTTACATGTTTAACATTTTTCAAATGCTTGTCAACATTTTCAAAAAGACTATGTCAATTTATTTTTCTAATATGTCTAGTTAGAATATTTGGAAGTATAAGAAAAAGTAAAAATGAAAAAATGAAAAAAATAAAATTAGAAAACAAGGCTGTTGTTCTGATGCGCCTAGCTGGCCCTACTTGAGTCTTACTGAAGGCGCCCATGTCGTTGGGAGGCGCTGACTTAGGCAGCTGGTGCTCTCATGCCGCCTACATGGCCTGGCCCACCAAAGCTCGCTGCTCGCTTGGTCATGTTTCCCCTGCTTACTGCTCGCTCGATGGTGTTCAATTTGTTAGACCGGTTGACTTTGCCTAGTTGACCGGTGCTTGACCCGTTGACTTGTGACTTTCTACAAAAAGTTCAAGGGTTTGATTTTTTTATGATTTTGAAAATTTTCATCGATATTTTTTTGCAAAAGTTCAGCATTTTTTATGAAAAGTTCACAAACTAGAAAAAAAACTCATGAGGTTTTTTTAAAACCTTCATCCATTTTTTAAAAAGTTCATGAAAAAAATGAAAAAAAATCGAATTTGAAAAATGTACTTGAAAAAAGGAAGATAGTTCATCAATTTTGAAAAAAGTACACAAAATTGAAAAAAGTTCATCGATTTTAAGAAAATTTGACTATTTCAAGAAAAGTTAAAGCATTTTTAAAAAGTTATTGGATTTAGAATAAGTTCACGCTTTAAAATTTTGAAAAAAATTCATGGATTTGAATTTTTTTAATGAAATTTGAAACGGTTTAAGAATTTGAGAAAATATTTTCTAAAGAATGCCAACAAAGTACGACAAATAGGAAAAGGGTAAAAGTAAGAAAAACCGACGAAACAAATAGATAAAACCAACAGGAGAAAAAACCAGCTGGAAGCTACTAGAAGCTTTTCAAAACCAGAAAAAAAACATGGCTTCAGCTTCGGTGCATGTGTATCACTTTTATGGGCTGGCCCACATATAATAGTATATACCTAAATAGTTCATCCCCACTATCTCAATTCGCTCAACATGCACACATGCCACATCATCATTCCACTATTTATTTTTATTAATATGGATGGGAAATGCTATTTATATTCTCTCTCAACATACACACATCTCAACTCTGCACACATGTCATCTCATGAATCACACTAATTTTATTTTTCTCAAAATTCATGAAAGACACTGCTTAAATTCTATATACATTCACCACTATATAATAATCAAATATAGTGTATCATATCTATTTAAAATTCCTCAAATAAATATTGGAATAAATCTTCAGAGCAACGCAT